CAGTGCGCGGCCGCAGCGCCAAGGCGGGTGCCCGGGGCGGCCACCAGTCCCGCGCCGCCGCGCTCGCCTCCTGTCTGCATACCGCAGTCCCACCCTGGTAGCCGGGGCTTCGGTAGGGTTCAAAACCAGAGCTGTCCTATTAAAATGCACTGCTGCTCCCTAATGCGAGCCACATAAGGAATGGCAACATTTCTAGTCGCCACCTTTAAGAAAAGGTGAAAAGAATTTTTGCAATAGTCTCTCTTTAACCTAATATATCGAAAATATTACCATTTCAACACCTGATCAGTTCTCAAAGTTACTGTGGATCTTTTAGGTTCTTTAATACTCTCAGCGAGATCCAGTTAATCTCAGTTTGTCCTACTCACATTGCTGGTGTTCTGTGGCCGTACTAAATGGTAGTAACAAAGCCCATAGTGGCTAGTGAATATCGAAGCCATAGAGTTTCTGGTTCTTTATTTATTTTTTTTTTAAATTTATTTTACACCACAACAAGATAAAGGTAAATAATCCAATAGACACATGGACACAGGATATGAACAGACACTTCACCAAAGAAGACATTCAGATGGCTAACAAGCACATGAGGAAATGTTCAAAATCCCTAGCTCTAAGAGAGATGCAAATTAAAACAAATATGAGATATCATCTCACCCCAGTCGGAATAGCAAAACTACAATGAATGAATGGAAATCCAAAAGTTTTGTAAATGTTCATGAAAATTATTAAAATAAAATCTAAAAGTAAAAAAAGAATAGCAAAATTTAACAGAACAGCAAGCAACAAATGCTGGCGAGGTTGTGGAGAAACTGGAACCCTTATTTACTGCTGATGGGAGTGTAAAATGGTGCAACCACTGTGGAAGTCAGTATGGTGCTTTCTCAGAAAGTTGCAAATAGAGATACCATTTGACCCAGCAATTCCACTACTGGGTCTATACCCCCAAAAGACATAACTGACATCCAAGCAGATACATGCACACCCATGTTTATTGCGGCTTTGTTCACAATAGCAAGGAGTTGGAAACAACCTAAGTGCCCATCAATAAACCAATGGATAGAGAAGCTGTGGTATATTCACACAATGGAATACTATGCTGCATTGAAAAACAAGGAACTCATGCAATATTATTCAAAATGGGTGACCCTGGAGAACATTGTGCTGAGTGAAGTATCTCAGTCACAAAAGGTCAAATACTGCATGGTGCCACTGTTGTAAAACAGGACTGACCTTGGGGTTGGGGAGAGACTGAGAAAGATGGGTTCAATAATGTATACTGCATTGAAACAGATGAGGGAGAAGAGAAAACTGTTTAAAAGGGATATGTGATTAGGTATTTTTGTCATGACAGGAGTCCAGAGCGAAGGCTGCCTTTGGGGGAAGGGATTGCAAAACAGTGAAATAATTTTTCTTTTACTTTTCCAAGTGGGTAGTGTCCTAAGGGGGAGGGTTGAGAGGGGAGAAAAGTGCAACAATGAATGAATGGGAAAAAAAATTATTTTTTTTTTGTGTGTACCATCAAATCAGATCTGATTGGTACAGGAGATTGCCCCTCCTTCTCCAGCAGAGCATCTGGTAGACTTGAGCCATAGGTCTCTTGGACTGCAGTACAGCTTCTTGCCACTAGGCCACCAGCACTCCCTGAGTTTCTTGTTCTTTATGGAGCCTAATCACCAGGCCTTCTGCATTGCGGCTGAGTGAGTTCAGTCTGCCATCTTTTTGGTTTGTAGTTGAGCACAGTGTAAGCCACTCAGAACCTGCATTTACTGGACGCTGAAGTCTTAAGCCATTAAACCTGTCAGTGAATAAGACTGGGACTCTGTTGAAATAAAAGCGATGTATTGAAGATACAAAACAATTTAAACTGGGACAAACTTTATCTCACAGTGTGACATCAGATGCCCCCAAATGATGGATTAACAGAGTAGCACATTCCGATTGGAAGTTGGAAGATCAAGGATGCCAGAATCAAGTTGCAAGGTTAAGTGGGAAGGTAGGGGATAGACTTGACAGTGATTGGTTGGGACCTTGGTCATGTGTTAAACGTTTCTTTAAATATCTGAGGTCTGCTAAGGGGCATTCTGATCATGGCCTTTATCTAGATCTTCCCATAAGAATATTTTTTTTTCTAGTTTAACCACAAAGAAAAATAATTCCTTTGTTGTTAGTTTAAGTCTAACATTTGAGAGTTCTAATGGCCAACTGGGAAGGATTTGCACTGCCAACCCAAAGGCATGTAGTTCAAGTCCAGCAGCTGCTCCTTCAGAGAAAGGAGATTATAAACACTCTCCTCCCACGTTATTTACAGTTTGTGAAAATCTGCTGGAGGGTCATCTGTGAGTTGGTTATGACCTGACAACAATAAATTGCTTTTTAAAATCTACCAATGGTTGAAAAAATTGTTTTAATAGTGTATTGACAGAGACTGCCAGATATTCAAACCAAATACAGAAGAAGACATGGAAAGAGGAGTATAATTTCTGACATCAAATACATCTTGGCTGAAAGCAGAGAATTCAAGGAAGATGTTTACCTGTGTTTTATTGACTGTGCAAAGGCATTTGATTCCAGAGAATTCCAGAACACTTAATTCTGCTTCTGTAGAACTTGTCCACTAAGAGGCAGCCATTCAAACAGGACATGGGGAAAGTACATGGCATGGTTTAAAACTAGAAAAATGTGTATCAGAGTTGTAGCCTTTCTTTTTTTTTGTTTTTGTTTTTTTTTTTAGAGTTGTAGCCTTTCACCACACTTACTCAGTCTGTATGCAGAGTATATAATCTGAGTTGTTAGACTATACGAAGAACAGGGCATTAGCATTGGAGGACAAAGAAGAGGGCATCAGAATTGGAGGAAATCTTCAATCAACTCCCTTGGACATAGCAGACAAGAAATCAAAGAAAATTGCCAAAAGATCTCTTTCAGATGCTAAGCAAAGGTGTCACTTTAAAAAGTAAGGTGTGCCTGACCAGAGTTATGTTATTTTCAGTTGCCTCACATGCAGGCGGGAGTTGGACAGTAAATAAAGAAGGCTGAAGAATCGATGCCTTTGAATTACGGTGTTGGGAAAGAATATTGAATGTATTCTAGATTGCCAGAAGAATAAGCAGATCTCTTTGAAAGAATTACAACCAGAATGATCCTAAGAGAGAATGGTGAGACTTTGTCTTGTGTACTTTAGTCCCATTATCAGGAAGGGCCGATCCCTGGAGAAGGTTATCATGCTTGATAAAGCAGAGGGTTAATGAACAAGGGAAGACAGGAGAGAGTGAGTGAGGCAGTGAGCGGATGTTGACAGCTGTCCCTCTTTCCCTCCTTACACTCCCCTTTCCTAACTTATTGTCTGTGTTCTTGTGATTTGAAGTAAATTGGTTTTTTATTCAATATTTGAAATAACTATGCAACTGTAAAGGAACCCTCGTGACACAAAAGGTTAGCAGTTTGAAGCTATCCGGCAAGTATGCTGTAAAGATTACAGCCTAAAAAAAACCTTGTGGGCAATTCTGTGCTCTAACATGGATTCATTATGCGTTGGAATCAACTCAGCTTTATTCAGCAATAACAGACTTGTAACACACGAGGGGTTTTGCTGATTCCTTTCCATTTAAGGGAGCTCTGGTGGCGAATTGCCTAAGAAGTTGTGCTGCTAAGCCAAGTGCAGTACCTCTCTGTCTGAAGCTGTCAGAGACTCTGAGAAAAAAGATGGACAGTGTCCTCTTGTGCTGTTTACAGCCTCTGAAATCCTGCTGGATGGTCAGCTGTGCGTCAGTTCTGACTTGAAGGCAGTGAGTTTAGAGTTTTCCGTGTAAGAACCACCATTCATCTTTCATTTGAGAGCTTGACATTGGCTTTGAAGTGTCAGAGGGAAGCCGTGAGGAGTGAAGCTATGCAGCCAGGCATCAGCGTGGTGCTGGCTTCTGTTACTTCAGCAAGCAAGAGGGTAGAGAGGATTGGTTTGTTTCTTGAAACCTTTTACTTAGATGCATCATTGTTTTCTTAGGGTCATACTGCACAAGCATCTATTAACCAAATATATTGGAGCCTTTTGTGTTCCCTACTGTCATGGGAAAAATCAGTCATCTGGTTCTTCAGGCTACTCTAGTCTTTTGAAAGCCATTCAGTGATCTCTTACCTCTTACCCTGGGCAAGGCATTGTTTCTGGTATTGGGGCTCCAATGGTGAAAAGAAATAGGGAGTGATTTGGACCCTTAGGGACTTAGAGTGGAGAAGAGAAGTTGGATGTTTAGCAAATGAAAAACCAGTGTTGCAGATACAGGTTGTCATCTGCTCTGTAAGAGATACTGATCGTACATCGGAGAAAGCTGCTTCAGGACAGGTGACAGATGGCACATGGAAGGCCTCTCAGTCCTCTAGATTTCTAATACCTATCCTGGTGATAGCAATTTTCTAATAATCTGGGTTCTCCTGTGTGTCTGTGCTGTTAGGTCTCCTCGAGTTGGTTTTGATCCATAGCAGCCCACTTGAGAGTAGAACTGCTTTGTAGTTTCTAAGCCGTGATCTTTATGAGAGCAAGTTGCCAAGTTTTTTTATCTTTCCCTCCTGGAGCCAGTGGTTGTATTTGAACTGCCAGTCATTCCGTTAACAGCTAAATGCTTATCCATTATGCCACAAGGGATTCCTTCACTGAGAAGAAAAGATAAATGGGTTTCCTCGGAGAAGGGAACCAGGCTGCCCTCTTAAAGATGTGCTGTGTGAATCAGGTTGTAGAGTACCTTTTTTTTTCTATAATTATATTTTATTAATTTTCATAAACATTTACAGAGCTTTTGGGTTTCCATTCATTCACTGCTGCACCATTCTCTCTACCCTCCTCCCAGTTTGTTCTTGTACAAATGCCACAGTGCTTGTCAAAGCCAGTTCTGATTAATCTTCTTTGTCAGTGTGTCCTTTGCCAT